CGTTGTATTGGAGACTCGTTTGAAGCAAAGTGATCAAGAAGTGGTAACCCTTAGCCAAGAGATTGGCCTGTTGAGGGTTAAATCTGACGAAGCCAGGGCCAAATGGGTTGAAGTCCATAATGTCGTTCTTGCTGCAACCGACCGTGAGGCTGCCTCCGCTGAAAGATTGACCAACTTATAGGTAGCCTTGAACTCCAAAACTAAAGAGCTTGTTGTTGCGGGAGTGAAAAATGCCCAGTTGGAGGAGAAGTATAGGAAAACTATCGAGCATAATAGGATCTTTAGCTCAATTGTCTGTGACCTTGATGTTAGTCTCATATCCATTAGATCCGCCTGGGAAAACCTTTCTACCGAGGTAACCCAACTCAAAGAAGAACGTAAGCGCCGAGCAGGTTCCCTTGTTGTTGAGAAAACTTACGTTATGTACAGCATGAGGAGAAAAACCTTAGAAGAGGACAAAGCTGGTATCACTGACTTTGATGCCGAAATTGCTAAGGCACGTGAGCTTGAATTAGCTTTTAAAAGTGGTCTCCCGGTAGAGCATGATGCTTCCGGTTCTGAAACTTCAGAAATGGAAGGCGAAGATGATGAAGGCCAAACTGACGAGGGTCAAAATATTGAGCCATTTGCGGATCTACCCACTTCTCCTAGGGGCGCGAACACTTCTCTTCCTCCGGGTTCCGGAGATGCAACAATTTAGCTTCTGATTTCTTTTTTCAATTTTTGTATCCGTGCCATTTTGACACGTTATTGTAAATAAAAATATTCTTTTGCTCAAGTATTGTTTGAGTCTTTCTTTCGTTTGAACATTTACGCAAGTTTTAACCTTTGCATTCTCTTCTTTTTGCTTAAGAGTTTTGCGCAAGTTTTACTATTTGCGTCTTATTATGTGAAGCCTTGGGTGTATTTTTCCCTGCAAGCATTTTGATTCTGGGCATAAGTTCAACTGAAACCAACCCTTTAACATGAGGGTTTTCATAAGAGAGGGCACTCTTATGTTTACGGTGCTCTTGAAAAGGACGTCTCCTGTTCATTACGACACTAGCATTTGAAGTACTTTTTTAACTTTCAAATGATAAAATCAACTCATCGATCAGACAAGAAACAAGATAAAAAATAAAAAGACTTTATTTTATTCCTTCTGTTTTCAAAAAGTACATAAGCATTCGTTATGTTAGAGAGAAATTATCATTTCTTGTGGCTAATTTGTACAACTTGTTTCTAAGGGGATGGTCGCGTAGTCCTCGATCCCGATGACACAATTATGTTCCCGAATTTTGTCTTCCGGTCGACGTGGCAGTCATTATTGTTGCACTCTCATATCACCCCCNCTAATGAATTGCTAGAGAATCTTCCACTCGGCAACAAACTTTGCTTCCCCTTCGGAATTTATGCTATCAAGCGAAAGACTATCTAACAATCCTCTAGTGGTTTGCACTTGTGAACGATTGGGTAACCTTTGCTTTATAGCAAACTTATTTTCCCGGTGGGAGTTTTGCTATAGAGCCAAAGATTATCTAACCACCCCGGAGTGGTTCTTCACTTGTGTGCCTTGCTATTAAAGGTCTTATTGTTGTCGTTGAAACTTTCTTCGTAGTATGATTTCCTGCTGCCATGTTAAATACCTTCCCAAAAAACCCAATTGGGACAAAAACTGAACGAATGAAAAAAGAGTGCAGCGCATTCTTCCAGTACAAACGATGTTTGTCAATAATAATCTCTCTTGAGGTGTGCCACATTCCAATTGCTTGGCAACTTTTCTCCATTCTGATTCTCTAACTCGTACGAACCTTTCCCGATGACAGCTGAAATCCGGTAGGGTCCTTCTCAAGTTGGGCCTAACTTCTCTGTGTTGCGTTCCCAGGTGTTTTGAGTTACTTTCCTTAAAATCAAATCTCCCACTTTAAAGTAATGAAGGTTGGCTCTTCGATTGTAATATCTTTTCATTATCTAATTTTGTGTCGCCATCTTTATATATGCCAAGTCCCTGCGCTCATCGAGTAACTCCAAGTTTACCAGGATCACTTCATTGTTCGCTTCTTCACTTGCCTGGAAATATCTTAAGGTAGGCTCCCTTACTTCTACCAGAATTAAGGCTTCTGCTCCGTACACAAGGGAAAAGGGAGTTTCCCCCGTGCTCGATTTGGCCATCGTTCGGTATGCCCATAAAACTCCGGGTAGTTCCTCAAGCCATTTGCCTTTATCTCCTTCCAACCTTTTCTTGAGGTTTTGTATAATCACTTTGTTCGTTGACTCTGCTTGACCATTTGCGCTCAGATGATAGGGGTGAAGATATGATCCTCTTTATTTTCAAATCTTCAAAGAACTTTGTAATCTTTGCACCGATAAATTGCGACCCATTATCGCATGCTATCTCTTTTGGTATTCCGAACCTGCAGATTATATTTTCCCATAAGAAATCCAGCACTTCATGTTACCGATCTTCTGATAAGGACGTGTTTTCACCCACTTAGAAAAATAATCAGTTAAAATTAAAAGAAATCTTACCTTACCGGGAGCCGGCGGCAGCGGTCCGACGATGTCCATCCCCCACTTCATGAATGGACATTGAGACAGGACCGAATGTAGTGGTTCCGCCGACTGATGTACTAGCGATGCGTAGCATTGGCACTTATCGCATTTTTGTACGAAAGCTTTGGCGCCTTGTTCCATGCGGGGCCAGTAATATCCTATCCTTACCAGTTTTAACATTAAGGAATCTGTGCTCGAATGGTTTCCGCATATCCCTTTGTGGACCTCTCGCATAACGTAATTTGCTTCAGATGCTCCCAAACATCGGGCCAGCGGGCCTTGGAAAGATTTTCTGTACAATTGTCCTCCTTTAAAGTTATATTGTGCTACTTTGACACGCAGCGCCCGAGATGCCTTGGAATCTTCGGGCAATTTGCCATGCTCGAGACAATCGATGATCTCATTCCTCCAGTCCCAGACCAAATTAGTAGTATTTACCTAATAATAGTATCTTCATCCAGGACCGGGTGCATCAGTTGTACTACCATCCCGGACTCTGATCCCTTCATTTTCGTCAATGAGCCGAGGTTAGCCAGTGCATTTGCTTTCGCATTTTCTTCCCTCGGGATGTGAGTAATCGACCACTCCCGAAATCGAGCCAGCAGAGCCTGGACCTTCACCACGTATTGTTGCATGCGCTCTTTTTTGGTTTCGAAGATATCGTAGTCTTGATTTACCACCAGCTGTGATCGCACTTGGTTTCTATGACCTTCGAATCTATTCCCCGGGCCAGTTCGAGTCCTGCAATCAAAGCATCATACTCTGCTTCATTGTTAGTTAAAGGGACCATTCTGATGGCTTGCCTTAGGGTTTCTCCCGAAGGCGTGGTTAATACTATGCCAAGCCCGGACCCTTTTATGTTAGAGGCTCCGTCCGTAAATAAGGTCCAAAGTCCCGATGTTGATTCTGACACCATCACTGCTTCTTTGATTGCTAGAGGCAGCAATCCTAGACTGAAATTGGCCACAAAGTCAGCCAAGACTTGTGACTTAATCGCAGTCCTTAATTTATATTCTATGTCGAATTCACTCATTTCGATGGCCCATTTGGCCAGCCTACCCGAGAGTTCGAGTTTGTGAAGGATATTTCGCAGGGGAAATATGGTCACCACAGCTTCCGAGCGGCTACTATGAGAGCTAAGGCCGGCTTATCCAAGTGCGGGTAGCAATTTTCTACTCCTGTTAAAATTTTACTAACGTAATAAATGGGAGATTACGTACCTTTGCCCTCTCGGACAAAAACTGCACTTACCGCTACTTCCGAGACTGTGAGGTATACCAACAATGTCTCACCTTCCTTTGGTTTCAAAAGTAATGGAGGGCTTGACAAGTACCTTTTCAAATCTCTCAAAGACTGCTGGCATTCCGGAGTCCATTTGAAGTTGTTTTTCTTTTTGAGCAGTGCAAAGAAATAATGGCATTTCTCTGATGACCGAGAAATGAATCTGCTCAAAGCGGCCAATCTCCCTATGAGCCTTTGGACTTCTTTCACGCTTGACAACTGATCTGGGATGTCTTCGATGGCCTTGATCTTATTAGGGTTTACCTCAATCCCTCTTTGCGATACCAAAAATCCTAGGAACTTACTGGAGCTGACCCCGAATGCGCACTTCTCGGGGTTGAGCTTCATGTTATGCTTCCTTAGGATGTCAAAGTTTCTTTCAGATATTTAAGGTGATCACCTGCATTCAAAGACTCAACGAGCATATTGTCTATATAAACTTCCATAGTTTTCCCTATTTGTTTTTCAAACATCTTGTTTACAAGCCTCTGATAAGTGGCTCCAACATTATTCAAACCGAAAGGCATCACATTATAGCAATATGTGCCGAAATTTGTTATAAACGAAGTCTTTTCTTGATCCTCCGGGTTCATCTTAATTTGGTTGTACCCGGAATAAGCATCGAGGAAACTCATTAACTCGTGACCGGCCGTCACATCAATCATTTGAATGATATTTGGCAGTGGGAACGAGTCTTTCGGCACACCTTATTCAAGTCCTTATAATCTACACACATGCTAGACAATCTGGATACTTTGCCTCTCGGATCAAACTGATATCGAGAAAGTGAGTTACTGCTTCTTTGACAAATTTATTCATGGCCTCCGCAATAGGGCATTTCTTTTGTCTTACAGGAGGGATGTTGGGATCCAAACTTAGCTTGTGTACGGCCACCCCCGTTGGGATACCTATCATGTCCGCATGCGACCAAGCAAAATAATCGGCACTAAATTTAAGAAATTCAATAAAGCCAGACTTGAGCTCGGGGTACAGTCCAGTCCCCAAGTGGAATTTCCTTTCTAAGAACTCTTCAAACAATGCAACTTGCCCGAGCTCTTTCGCCGTGGATTTTGTTGCATCTGTCTCTTATGGTACCTAAAAATACCTTGGCAACTGATAAGATTCTGATGCTTCTACCCCCAGGCTAACTTCATTCTATTCGGGAGCGGCGTCGATTCCTATAGTTGCTATGCCGCGTGTTCCTTCCCTTTGCTATTGGAGATTGAAATTGCATTCATCTCCTTTGCCGCCGGTTGGTCGCCCCTTATCTGTTTAATTCCTTCATGTGTTGGAAATTTCAGCAACGACTGATATTTTAACGATACAACTCTCATCTCGTGCAACCATGATCTTTCCAGAATAATATTATATCCCATGTCACCATCCACCACTTCAAAAAGAGTCGTTTTCATCACCCCTTCAATGTTCGTGAGCAATAAAATCTCTCCTCGGATTGTCACGCTCGCAAGGTTTAATTCGACGAGGAGTTTTGTGGCCGGAGTGATGCTTCCGGTGAGTGTAGCTTGCCCAATACTCTCCATTGTTTGATATTGGCTAAATTTCCTGGATCCACTAGAAAACGTTTGATTTTAAAGTCTAGCACATTTAAAGAAATTACCAATGCATCGTTGCACGGTAGCAACAATCCGTCTGCGTCTTCCTCTGTGAAAGTGATGTCGTCTTCAGCAACTTCCCGGAGTTTCTTGCTATGGGTTATTGATACTTTTGTGTTTTTGCTACCGAGAAGGTGACCCCATTGATTTTACCCCTCCCCCCCCCTCCGAAGATCATGTTGATCATCTAGCGTGAAGGATCTTCTTCTACTTTTGAGGGTTTCGCATTATCCCGGTTGCGACCGTAATTGTTCTTGGCCCGGTCACTTAAAAATTCTCTGAGATGCCCATTCTTCAACAGTGTCGCCACTTCTTCCCGAAGATGTGACAGTCCATAGTACGGTGGCCATTCATCCAGTGGTAGTCACACCACATGTTGGGATCCCTCTAGCTCGGATCGGATCTCATCAGTTTCGGGAACCGTGCTTCTTTGATGTTTCTCATAGCTGACACCAACTTTACTACACTAACGTTGAAATTATATTCTAACAGCCTGGGTAGGAAGGATCTCGCGTATCTGACGCTTCTTTGTCCTGCAATGATCTATTGTTCTGACCGCGATCAGTCCTTCTATCGGTGGCGAACTTGTCCGCTGATCGGAAGCCTCTGTCACGACCTTCAGTCTTCGTAGGGCAAAAATAGGCCCCTTGAAGACCATCTGTCAGTGTCGAAATCATCTTTTGATTTTTCTCTATTCTTTTTCCGTCCTTTTGTCGACGATGAGAAGCCAACCTGATCTTCTTCGATCCTTATCTTCGACTTGTATCGGTTGTGGACATCTGCCCAAGTCGTTGCTTGAAACTCAAGCAATCTTTCCTTCAGTTTTCGGGAAGCGTCTGAATTTCTCGAATTCAGACCCTTGGTGAATGCTTCAGTCGCCCATTAATCTGAAATAATCGGGAACAACATTCTCTCATTTTGGTACCGGGTAACAAACTCTCGCAGCAACTCGGATTCTCCTTGTGCAATTCTAAATATGTCGGTATTTCGATCCTGCACCTTTTTGGCCCCGGCATGAGCCTTAATAAAAGAATCCACGAGCATCTCAAAGGAATCTATGGAATGCTCAGGTAACAACGAATACCACGTCAAGGCTCCCCTCGTGAGGGTCTCTCCAAATTTCTTCAACAAGACAGATTCAATCTCGTGAGGAGCTAAATCATCCCCCTTCACTGCCGTTGTATATGTGGTAATATGCTCATAGGGTCTGAAGTTTCATCATACTTTGGCACGTCGGGCATTTTAAATCGCTTCGGGATTAATTCTGGTGTCGCACTTGGTTTGTACGGCAACTGAGTATACTTATTTGAGTCCGGACCTTTCAGCACCAGTGGTGCTCACAGGATTTGGTCCATGCGGGCGTTCACTTCCTTTATAAATCGTAAGAGTTCATTCTTGAAGGGATCATTTTCGTTATTGGGGCCGAATCCGCTCTCCCCAGCCCCATTGGAGCCAACCTTGCCCTTTGGGGTTTTGTTGTCGACCCTCTGCGTTGTTTGATTCACGGGAGCACCGGGAGGAACTGGACCTTGTCTATTCGCGTAATCTGAAGCCCCCAAGAACGCCTGCTTCAACTCTGTCATAACCTTATCCTGCCGTGTGAGGTGTCCTAGAATGATCATGTGTTGTTCTTGCAGGACCCTTACCGCATCAACAACATGCTCCTCTTCAGCATCATCGGGAGTTGCCTCACGAACATGTTGTGGGTACCGCCTGTCGTGGACCGGCATGGCATTGTTTCCCTCATTGTGGGTGTCAGTGATCGAATCCTCGAGATGAGGCTGGTCTACTTGAACCTCAGGATTGTGTGTGTTGTTAACACCATTATCTGTCATTTCTTATGATTTTTTGCTAAGATAAATAATCAAAACACGTTAGTAAAAAAAGGCAAGGATCAACTTAATTACACGGCTATCTAGGCCCACGGTGGGCGCCAAACTATTTACCCCTAAAATGGTACAGTTTAATTTATACGTGATTTCTAGACAAGTGAATCAATTTGATCCGAAAATAATGAAATAATTAAAGAAATGTGCAATACTTAGCCTTGAAATGAAGATAAAATCACGAAAAACAATAATTTGGGGGCAGAGTTTCCGGGCACAACAGTGATGAAACCAAGGAACAAGAAAGTAAAATTGTAAGCTTTTAATCGATTATAGCGTAAGTTTGCCAGAAAAGTCGTGTCTCTTACAATGATAACAGATCTCACTATTTATAGTTGTACCTAGGGAACAAGGTCCTAGGATCATGCCCTTCTTTAATGTCAATTATGAGGGCCATTGAAGAAGGTGTAACGGTGAGCATAAATGACAAATTCTTTGTAACGGGCAGCGCACTAAATGTTGTGGAATATTCTCCATTAAATGCTACCGGGCAGAGGGTATTTATTGCGTCTTTATGAGTATTATTCTTTCAAATGACAGACGGGACAATTGCCTTCGGTTTTAGCTATCCCTCTCCTTAGGTTCCACGTGTCCTTCTTTTGGACGACCACATGACATAACATATTTTACCCTATGCAATAAGTTCCTTTCTTCGTTTCTATTTTTTTCTTGGAAACTTAGTTCTAGAGGCATTCCTCGAGACTGGGAGTGGGTTGGCAAGATCTTAGCCAATTCCACAATGAAATCGAGATCTTAGAAAGCCATATCTAATGTAGCTCACTAGAAAACCAAGAGTCATGGTATGGAATCCTTTCCTTGTTTTCAACTTTTTAATTTCTCTTGTCTTTGGTCGGCTTGATTTTTTTGGTCGGTGAAGGTACAAACTCATCCTCGTGTCTCAACTGAAATTTCCAATCTTGATTAAGCTCAAGATCATATCCAAAAAGTAGCCATTTTAAAGCGGAAGAAGACGAGTATGTCTAACACTGCTCTAGAGGGGAATCTTTCTAGCCCTTCAAAAAAGAAGAAGAAGAAGAAGAAGAAGAATAAGAAGTAGTAGTAGTAGTAGTAGTAGTAGTAGTAGTAGTAGAAGAAGAAGAAGAAGAGAACTCGCAAGAAGAAGAACGAATAATTCGGGGATGGTTAGAGCAGTTCCCAAGTCAATCCCCAAACTACTTAATTTCGCCTCCGGGATGAACCAGAAAAAATTGTCCCTACCATTGTGGCAGTCAATGAAGAAGAAGTCCCGGCTAAGGAGAAAAATAAGAATAGTGCAAGCACCATTTCGAATCCGGAGAACCTAAGCAAGTTGTTTGCAAAATCTAGTTTTGATGGTCCGATAGAACTGGAATAGACCTTGAACAGCAGAAGCCGCCAATGTTCTATAGATGGTATCTCCACTCCAAGATCAGAATTTCTATCGGACTTCTTAATATTTCGGTGACAGGCGTTGTCCTTCATCCACCGGCAAGCGCAACATCACGATCGAGGTCCCCAACAATGTCAAGCTCTTATATCTTGACCTTAACATATCGTTGGATAGCTAAAAGGATTTATCACTCCACAAGAGAAGAGAAAATAGACAAAGTTTCTACTATCGAGTTGATCTATATGTGATGTTTTCATCACTCATGGTGAGTTTTCTTCCCGAATTATCCTTCTTCAATTTCCGTAGAGTACCTATCAATTACAAGCTTTTTTTGCAGTGCAATTCGGTTGCCATGGAAGTTATGTAGAGGGTTCTCTAACACGAGACTACTATCTCGGAATTTGAGAAACTAAATCGTCACAGGCATCTGAGTTTGAGTAATTCAAGACTGAAAAAGAGACCTCGAGTCATCAGTCCAAGGCAACCATTGAAGAGTTAGAGCAGCTAAAGAAGGCGACGGAAGAACGAGAATATTCTTTCTCCAAGGAAGCATCTAAGGATTATGTGTACGGTCAAAACCGATTAAGTCAGTCGTACGGACTGGTCGAGATGATGATGTTTCGATCAAAGGGTATCTGCATGACAAGCTCGGTCGAGGTCCGAAGTAAGGGCATCAAGCTTCTAGCTCTAAGACCGATCAATAACAAGCTCGGTATCATTATCGAGCTCATATCCAAATCAAACTATGAGGCAAAGCAGAGATTATCGAAGATGCATAGACCAACCAATACTCACCCAAAATATCGAGACCCCAAGTCAGAATCGAGATCGAACCAAGGCCGAGGGCTCGATCCAATACCGAGCTCGAGCCAGTATCGAGCTCGCAGACAAGAGTCGTTGTAACCGCACTATGGGAGAGAATCTTGGCGGAAATCGAGGAAAAGACAATTCATCGTGGGCCCTCTACTATATATATTTATTATTATAGATAAAGAAGGATCCCTCTAATATAATAGGGGGATGTTAACACATTTAGGGGGCATTACGTTGCCTTGTTCATCAACATTTCCTTTTTCTCTACCTTATATTTCATTCCATTTGCCAAATATAGAGATTTTTACATTTCACTCTACAATTTGTATTAAGTTATATCACGTGTCCTTAAAACCATACACAAATTTAACTCTATCCGATTTTTCGGGTAAAAGATTTAGGGTCTCAAGGTGTTACTTGCTCATAAGGAAAAATACTCAAACGAGCTGGTGGATGAGTATTCTCGAGCTACTCGTGATCTCCAGTGATCAGAGAGCAAGGAAAAAACTCTTGAAGTTGCTCTTGAGGCTTCGGAAACAAATAGGGCAGAACTTCAGAACATAACAAAGTTTCTTTTGAACTTGATGATCTGAATATCCAATCAGAGCTTGAAGTGAACTTTGCTACCTTTGCGTCCTGGTTGAAGGTACTGAAAGATACTCATGCAAGAATTCCTAACATGTCTGCGAAAATTTGGAAGGTTGAAACGGCAATAGAGGTTCCCGACATGCCATGAACTCATCTTTGCCCAAAAGTATCCAAAGATGAATCTGCAGATGAGGAAGAGTCAGACAATCCGAATGAGGATACCAATAAATAAAAGATTGGGTCACCTCTTTCTCCCACGGTCCCTCAAGTTA